GGGGGCAATATGCTGACTCTCTGTAAACCGCTTAGAGAGGCCTGAAAGGCCTATGAAGCGGTATATAAGTCTACTGCTATTGCTATTTCAGTCATCAGGGTTGTCTTTCACCTTCAGGGCAGGGGTCGGAGTGGGCATGGCCAGCTTGACGTCACTCATCGGGGCTCTGTTTTCAGCCACGCTGGCCTCCTGCAGCCCTCTGCCAGTGAAAGTGGAGCCCAGGCAGGCCACGCCCAGCCTCCTCGTCCTCTGTTTTCACTGGCGGAGGCACTGTGGGCCAGTCCTTTGCTCTTTCCAGGGTGGGTCTGCAGATCTAAGCACCCTGTGGGCTGGATCCAGGCCGAGGGCCTTGACTGTGACCCCCCCTTGGCCTAGTACCACTGCAGAGGGAAAGGATTGTTGCCTGCCCTGTTCTAACCATCCCTCTCCTTTTTGAATCACAGCAAATTGCTGGGCTGCAAACAGAAGATCATCGACTTGCTTCCCAGCATCGACGTGGCTCTGAACAGCATCAAGGAGGCCGACAATTCAGTCATGCAAATGCAGGGCAAACGGCAGAGAGAAATCTGGCACTTGCTGAAAATTGCTTGTGTAAGGATATGGCTCAGCCAGGCCGCCTCGATGAATATCCAATACAACCCAACATCCTTACATTAGAAATAAGCGTTGCATTCGTCTGTTAGTTTGGCGACATTGCTAACATAGAAGCAGATTTTGGTTCAAATACCAGCCTGGACTAAGCAGAGAGAAAGAGAAATTCTCTTACAAATATTGGGCCATTTTTCTCCCCAGAATCCAGGGGTTCATTGTACGCCATCTGGAAAAGCTGAGGACAGATTTGGACAACAGAAGGCAAGGCAGGGGGCCCCGCTCTTAAGGCCGCATTTGACACCCCTAGATCAGGCAGGGCAAAAAGGTTTGAGCAGAAAACCACACATCTGAAAATGTGGGTGTCCCTGACTCTGATGATATTCAGATGTCAACCTGCCCCACCCTTCTTACTGGTCACCTCAACATCATCATCATCTGCTAAATATCAACTGTGGGTGGGTTACACTGTCCTGTCTCCCCTCATTTCCCCCAGCTGTTTTAAGGCTTGAGGGCCTCAACGTATCGGCCATCCTCTCGGCCGCGTTCATAAGACAGAGCTGACCCGGCAATTCTTAATGCCAGTCAGTTCATTCAACCTTCGAATGCCAGCAGTTCAACAGCTGAGTGCAGCTTTTAAGGTTTTTCTCATTTGCGGGTATCGCGAAGAAGGAAATGGGGGGGCACCATCGATGCTCCTGATGGGGGGGAAAGTGACTTAAGTTACTCTTGAGTGCTGCTGTCCAGACTGGTTTTATATATGCCAAACAATTCCAGAGTTTGGTCACTTGGACCAGTTTTTCCTGCTGGCACAACAAACCATGTTTCTCTGGACCCATTCGCAGCAGCCTCCTCCCGTCAGAGACATTGGGAATGAATGCAGGAGGCGGGGAACTCCGCCAAAGGCCTGCGTGTCTCTTCTAACACCTCCTAGTTTTCCTTGTAGACCCAGAGTTCGGCTCGATCGGGCAGTTCCGCCGTGGATGGTCCCGTCCCGTCTTCTGTGCCTGCCTGGCTCTGCCAAACTGCACCGGCCCACGTGCTGCAGCCGCTGCCTTTCGTGGAAGCCTCTAGAAACGCGTAAGAGATGGGGGAGGGGGCTCTTCCTCCCTGCTAGAAACCCCGCCTCAAGGCTGGCAGGCGACCCTCCTGTCAGGAAATGCAGAACTTCGTTTAACGAAGATGGCTCAATTAGTAGAATAAGGGACATCTGCCGTACAGGACATGACGTTGAAATTTAAAGGAAGAAAGAAGAGAATGCTTGAAAATAGGTCACCATTTAAGACCATAATTGTGGGCTTAATTGTGGTTGTATGTCGGGGGCTAATTGCAATTCATATCGCAAAATTTCAGCCTCCAAAAAAGAAAATACATGGCATTAGGATTGCTGAAGAGAAGGAAGCTCTCCTGATTTTGATTCGTGTATTTAAATAGTTTCCTATTTTTTTTTTGTCTGGAGTAGCTGGAATAGAGAACAGCCATCTTTGTTCTTTTCTTGACAGGTTGAATTTTGCACATTTGTTGGAAGAAAATCTAAGCTATCTTGACAGTTTTAGCGCCGTTATACACGAAGCGAGGCACGACCAGAATAGCAGCATGATGGTGAGTTGAAGCTTCCCTTCGGCATACGTTTAATAAATAATTCATTTATTAAGAAGAAAAGACAGCTTGGAAAGTGGGTCATTCACTAAATTCAGCAAGAGAAACTCCTCTACTTTAGAAGAAAATGAAGATATCCAAGCAACAACTTTGCATAAGCATTTTGTTAAGAAAGATATTTGAGGCTTCCTTCCTCTTTTATGAGTGAGTTTCCTCAAAGGAATTTTGAGGGACTCTGAAGGAATTTTGCAGCTCAGTGGGTGATCAGTCTCATCCTGTGAGTGAAAGAGAATAATAAAAGTGAATTTTCCAATATCCAGTCCTTTTAATAAGGCCAGCAGTGGGGAAAGCACAATTCTCTTTATTTGGTATTTTAAATGCCCTCTTCTGTGCAAGAGAACTGTACAACAGTAAGGAAAACACAGAGATTGTTCCTCAATTTTACCAGTTTGAATTTCCATCCGTTTTATATCGATTACTGCATAACAACACTGAGAGTGTTTCAGATTATTCCCTTGTTTTCTTTTGCAGAGTCTGGACTGGAGTTGGCTGGGTTAGAGAGTCCGTGTTGCACAGCCGTATTTGCAAAAATGGGCCTTTTAACTTAAAATACATCTTTCCTTTGAATTAAAGAAGGACCAGATCGCAGAGTTTGCATCTTCATCCAGTTTGTGGAGGTTTTGGGAAAGTGGCCCAGCTTTACCCTCTAAAGCATCCCAGATAGAATATCTCCCATCACAGGATCTGTCATGCGCTGTAATTAAATAACCCCCAAAAGATCACGTTGGGCTAAGACAGAAATCGTGAAAGGTGCAAAATAAATTATCTTGTTATATACTGTATTAATAGAAGAGAATATATGTAGCTCAGGATTGAACTGCGAAATCTTTTAACGCTCTCGGGGTTTGTTTTCTTAACAAACGTTTCGTTACTCGGGGAATGTCATCAATGACGCACTTATGATGCTACCTATCTGGGCAAACCCCACCGTCTTCTCGCACTGATGGTGTTACTTGGTTTGGTAATGAAACGTCTTAAAGCAAATGACCAAACTCTTGAGAGCTCCGTGACTCCATAGAGCAGTGTTTCTCAACCTTGGCAACTTGAAGATGTCCGGGCTTCAACTCCCAGAATTCCCCAGCCAGCATT